AATAATAGTAATAATAATAATAATAATAATAATAATAATAATAATAATAATAATAATAATAATAATAATAATGATAATGATAATAATGATAATGATAATAATAACAATAATAATAATAATAATAATAATAATAATAATAATAATAATAGTGATAATAATAATAATAGTAGTAATGATAATTGATGATAATGATAATAATAATGACAATGATGACGGTAACAATAATGATAACAATGATGATAATAATAAGAAATAACAATAATAATAATAAATGATAGTAATAATAATAATAGCAATAACAGTAATAGTGATAATAAATGGCAATGATAATAATTAATGATAGCAACAATGATAATAATAATAATAATAGTGATGATGATAATAAATAATAATAATGAAAATATAGTCTTACAATACTTAGGTCTATCGAGCTTGGATTCGAAAAGATAGCCAAAAAGTCTGACCGCGATTAGAATATTTTTAATTTTTCTTTAAGAAGACGGCACTTCACCAAAAATTTCTGGTGCATGCAAGAAATTGGAAGCATTTTTAAATACGCCATCGAAGCAAAATCGAAATGTCGGAAAAGACAGTGAACTGGTCGGCGGTAAATCTGAAAAGGATGGTGCTAGTGTCGAAAACGACTATGATGATGAGGGAAATGATGATGATTATGAAGAATTCTCCACTCATAAAGTGAAAGCTACAATAAGCGAAGCGTATGCTTCTCCACTGAAGCCTGTAAGTTCATTTTTTTTTGCTAAATGAACCCTGAAATCCGTGTTCAATTTACGAAACTTTCAGAGCAAACCGATCGAATTCACTGGATTTATTGCTCTGGGATTGCTAGGCAGTGGACACATGAGAATTGATCTATATAATGATGATGTAGAAATGCAATGGTCACATGTAATCGGATTGGAAGATACTCTTTCCAAGCCGGTAGGTCAAATTATTTCGTCTGTTGAGTTGGATACTACTGCAGAAAGAACATGTTAAACGAATAATGCTTTAAGCATAGCATACGTCAGAGTTTTGCAGTTTCGATTAAAACATGTGATTTATAGGACAAGAAACAGGTTAAATATGTTGCCGTGGACGAAAAGTCGCAGAGTAAACAAGTAATGTTGGAATTCGCGAATGAAATAGAATGTGCAAAGGCATATCTTGATCTCGAAGAGGTAGTTTTGGTCTTTCATGCCATCTTTTTGCTTCTTTTTGTCTTTCCGATAGCTGAGACAACTTTGGAGAAACAAAGCTCTGAAAATTTTGCGCATCTTCATATTGGAGACAATGAAAGTAGTAGACGGTCGGCAGCGATCTTGAAATCTGTGGAGTGCAGAGGTGATTTGAAAGAGTTCATAATATTCTAACATAGGATTTCATCTGAATAACGACCCAATACTCTTCTTTCACTTCTAGGTGACATTTCACTCACTTGGTTGCAATGTCACTTTCCCAACTTTCATAAATTCGTTTTTTTTTTTTTTTCAGAGGATGCATCTTTTGAAAGAATATTCGGGTCAGGATTCGGATCAGGAATAAAAGGAGATGTTGTACTCTTTTTTTCCTTGGAAATTTCATTATTTGTGGAAATCACGTTGAAGCATCTATCTGTATGATATATATGCATTCGTTTTTATGCTTATAAATGAAAGGACAAACAAATACTTCACACTTCTCTCTTCCCACCCAGTATGGGTTTCCTCTTTTATATCAATGACACATTATCTGCACGGCGTTATACTCAATAGAATTTATTGAATCCACATATCGCCAAAATTCGCTCACATCCAGTGAATTAGCCATATTTTTGACAATTTCATACAACTTTCTGAATATCAAAAATAAAATTTAAACAGTTGTTGTCTGTCACTTATCCACATCCTTTAGAATTAAAATTTTTCGCTGAAGAAACTCCGCAGGAATTCTAGATTTAACTATTCGCAATCTGATCTGATCAGACAATACGATCAAAACAAACGATATATTCTTTTCCAGATTGTTTCGAGAAATAAGATCATATAGTAATATCGAAATTCGTGATTTTCAGTGAGTTATCAAATGGGAGTGTTTTGTTACGTTGTGCACATCTTCAGTATTGAGAAGCTCTACCGCATGTGGTAGTATCTTCTCTAACACTTCAAAACATTCCTACAATGTCATCTATGTTCATTTACGTTCTGAGGATGATTTAAATTCTCTACACATTTTGTTGTATATTTACTACTTATATTCTTTAGATTTAAGTCTAATAATGCTTGAACTTTCTTCTTTGCTTTTTAATCTTATGCCATGCCATAAGTTGCAATTAGAAATGCAAAATGTATTACTTGAGCAGAAATATAAGCTGCTTACCTTAACAGCTTTCGGGTTTCCAGGTAAATTAACAATTAGGGTAGAACCACGGATACCCGCACATAATCGTGATAAGGCAGCAAATGGTGTAGCCTGCAGTGAACGTATATGAAGCGCTGTTTCCAGTCCACCGCATTTTTTCTCGATAACACTTTGCGTTGCCTAGAAAAAAGTTCACTTTTTTTTCCAAACTATTTCATCTATTAAAGAAAGAAAAGTGGAAAATTCCTTTCTGATTTTTTAGATTTATTATATTCAGCTTTGAAAGTTTAACCAATCATTATCAACAGTAAGGGTTAATTAAAGCATATAAAAGATAGCAGTTTAATTAAGTGGGAAACGAACTTCGGGAGTAACATCTCGTGGTGAGAAACCTGTCCCGCCTGCTGATATAATCACATCTGAAGCATAAATTTTGAGTTACAAATTAAAGTTCAAGTTCCGATAGGTTATAAAATGATGTCATTGCAAGGGTATCTTATCACTTCCAATAAATGCAAGTTGTCTTTTTAATATATTTATCACAGGAATTCTAACTTCAAAAATAAGGTGGTAATTCAAAAATGACAAAAGTACTATCATCTGAAAAGATCTTATTCGATAATTTTTATGATATTGTTACTTATCATTAGTAATAATCATACGCTTATCATTAAAAAGGATTTCATTGAACGTAAATGAAACATACCAAAGGTTTTGCATAAATTAATTAACATATTCGTAATTTCTTGTTTCTCATCTGATACAAGGAAATTTTTTACACTTGGATTGGATATGCTATAAATTCTTTAAAATTACAAATCAAGGTTTTTATTTTTAATAATTTGAGTTTTTTATTCTCCGAAATCAATAAAAATTAGCTGTAAAATAAGCATAGACAACAAGTAAAAATGATTAATGTCTTCTGCAAGGAGAAAAAGACAAAGGTTAGCAAATTTCAATTTATGATATCTAATTTATATCTTAAAGTAATTTAAATGAACATATTGGAATCGAATATTAATTGCCGAAGTAATGGACCGCTGATATCCTCTCTTGTTCCACTGGAAGAGGAATCGCTTACTGTAATGGGTATAAATATGAAGAAATTGTGAAATGAATTTAATTTGAATTGAATAATTAATAAAGCAAGTCAGTACAAATATAAGTTCGTATTTAATTATTAATTACAAACTGATAGTTTTGAGTCAAATTAATAAACATAAATCAATAATTTGAGCAGAACTAACAATTATAAATTAAAAGCTAAATTCATAATTACAAATTTATAATTTGAGTTAATTTGGAATAAACATCAACAATTTCTTTTTTGGAATCTCCAATCTAAAATGGTAAATGTAGGAGTATTTAATTTCTTCCAATTATCATAATTTTAATTTGCTCGAGCAAAATATCATAGCTTTGTCTGTCGCCCCATCTGTTTGTCAAATCTATCGATTGATCCGTCTATACATCTATCTATCGATCGATCAATCGATCTATCTTACATATCTAATTAGTTTAACTGGAATTAATTCGTCTGATAAAAATAATAAGCATATATCGATCAGTCATATATCGAATAATATGCTTGTATCGATTATATATCGATGATATATTTGCATATATATATATATATATATATATATATATATATATATATATATATATATATATATAT